TTTGTTAATTATACGAATTTTTTTTAAAAAAAATCAATTTGGCAATGTTTGTTTCATTACATTATGTAATAATTTAATACATTATTTATGTTTTTTAATCAAAAATACAAGACGATCATCTGCCATATTTTTTTGTTCCATAAATTTTGCACCTTTTTATTATTTACTACTAATTATAATAAATTATATTTTTGGTATATAGTTGTTTTGATGTTTTTGAATTATCTCTGCATATTTTCAACCCTGTCAACTAAAAACAGTTACAAATTATCTATAAAATTGGTGTTTAAATTTTTATTTAACTATATTGAAAAACAAAAATAAATGTTACAATTTGGGCAGACAACCCGGCCGAAATTGCTTTTATATATATTGTTTTTAAGTGTAATTTTTGTAATTGTGTAAAAACCAATTAGGTATATTTTTGAAACAAAAAAGTTTATGCAAGAAAACTTTTTTAAAAATGTTTATTTTTCTTTTAATAATTTGTTATAATTGTATAAATAATCATAATTAATTCAAATTTTAAAAGAAATCTTTTCGATTATATTTGAACCATGTTTGACAATAAAAACATTAAAAAGATAAAGGAGAAAAGTAGTATAAATTATAATATAGAAAATGAAATTTAATAGAGATCAACCCTACATAAGGGAGACACCACAAAGTGTGAGTCGTCGAAAGTAACTATCGATGCCTCCGATAAGCGAGATCTCCCACCAGAAGTTATACCGGTGGCTGGATGGGGTCTGGTAAACCCTAAAGGCAACATACTAGGAAGAGTAAGTCGAGCCTTGCCACCTCTCATCTTCGCCGTTCCAGCAAGTCCAAACTCTGTGTTTCCAAAGGCTTTGAAGGAAACGCTCTGAACTTAGAGAGTCAGATTGTCTCTCCATTCGATTTTCAAAACAAATTCTTGCCATTTGAATAGCATAGGACCGCTATTTGAGTTTGGTTTGAATAAAACCTGGTAATACCAGGGGCAAAGATGTGGGTTATAAAAGATGACTCCTCGGCCCTATGTAGACTCTTTAATTGTTATAAGAGTAAAGCATAATTGATTTCTTCTTGAGAAAATGAAATTTAATACAAATAATTATAAACACAAAAATAAAGAAAAAACATCAATTAATTTATAAATCTATTTTATAAATAAAAAATTATTGCATAATTAGAAGATAAAATTTATTTGGTTATGATAATTACGAATATAAATAAAACTGGAATTTAAATAACTCATTTGACAAATTTGTCAACACAATGTTGTTTTTTGAAATTAAATTTTATCTAAAGAGATTTATACAATTAGAAAAAAAAAGTAGGAAATAATCAATTAAATAGAATTGAAATTATGTGATTGGATATTATGAAAATGTTTTTAAAACATACAGATGTGGTACTAAGGTTTCGACCAGGACCATGGTTTCGACTAATATTTAATAATTTTTATACCATTGTAAAAACTAAATATTAAAAGTTATATTTGGACGATGTTTTAAAAATAAACTTAAAATTGTTCATTACTATTCAAATAGTATTTAAATTATAAGTCGAAACCTTGGTACTCGTCTAAACCTTGGTCCCACATTTGTATAATTAAGTTTATTTATATTGAAAATTAATTAAAGAAGGAAGAAAAAGAAAGATATTTATTAACCCTTCTGGTACCAAAAATTTCCAAAAAATGTAAACTTTTTTATATCTTATTCATTTTGAGTGTATATTAGAAAGAAATAATGCAAAAAACGCTTTAAACTTTTTACAACCATGGAGAATACCAGGAAACAAAATTAATAGTAAAAAATAATTAAATTTACTACAAATTAATAGTAACTTTTGACCTAAAATCGTATTTTTTTTGTTGAAAAAAAGTTCACTTTTTCTGTGAGGAAAACTTGACGACTTTTCCTGTTATTATTTTCAAGTTTAATAATTTTTTCTTTTTATATCAATAATTTGTGTTTAGTATAATAAACTATACATTATAAGTCTTTCTAAAAACAGGGTTTTAAAATAAGAAAACGTATCAAATAAAATTCTGATAAAAATTCTTTCATTGAAAAACAAGGAGTACGTCATACTTTGAAAATTCCAGTAAATATTATTTTAATTTAGTTTATATTGTAAATGTTTTGATGTTTTGTAACTAAATTGTAAAAAAGTTGATTTTTTATTGAATTTTAATATATGTAACAAACAATCAAATACTATTATATTGTATGTGCAACCACACTGATGGTTAGCGTTCTCACTTTATGAACTTTTGTTGAGAACCATATGTATACGATATATATTTACTACATTTTTCTTCTTAACTATCGTTTTAAAAAATTCGTTTTCATTACACAAAATAAATTAAATGTATATGAATAACATTACTACCTTTTTCACATTTTAAAGAAAGATCCTATATATACATTACTCTAAATTATTATAAAATATATTTTATAACTAATATGTATAACACAACTGTGTTAGACTTTAAATTTATATAACATACAAAAATAAAACTTGCAAACTTTTTTCATATTATAAATGATACATCAAACATAAACTGAAAACTACAATATTAAAACTAAATATTGTTTAATTTGAATAACTTTTAGTTTACAAATTTTAGTTTATATTGATATGTATGCGTGTTATAACAAGCATATTTCTGGTATTGGAAGGGTTAAAAATAAAGCAATTTTGATTAAAAAAATGAAAAAACAGTAAATAGAGAAGAAAAAAAGTCAAAAAATAAAAAAGTTAAGAAGGGGCAGACCTTTCCCACCCTCACCCCGTCTAAATATAGAATTAATTTACTATATTTTATAATTTTATAATTATAATTATAGTAAATGGGCGTTTTGGATAATATTAGGTCTGGTTCCCGAATTCAAGAAATGCCGAAAATTCACCTCGAGTTAGTGGAAACCGAGTGAGACGGAGCATTGAAAAGAAGGCTCTGAAGACACACTCAAACAGTCTGTTTGTGCACCGTTTCACCCACTTTCCAAGTCCTCCCTTGGCGCGGATCCCCCCCCTGACCCCCCCGCAAGCGGGGGGAACCACATCCGCGTCCACACAGTACGGACAAGGAAAGTGGGTGACATGGGGACGCACAAACAGTGGCTGAAAAGTGGATTCCCTTCAAAAAACACTCGCGGCAAATATTTTATTTTGGTAAACGGGGTGAGGGTGGGAAAGGTCTGCCCCAGTTAAGAATGGAAAAAGAGGCATGCAAAATACAGCAATAGTTTATCAAAAGGCATACAAAAATACAGCATAATTTCAAATTTTATTTTAACTCTTTTTATTATTTTTAATCATTTAAAATTATATTTTTGAATTAATTTAATAATGTTAATTTTTTTAATTTTTTTGTGGTGTTATTAATTTTTTTCATTTAATATTTTTTAATTATTAACACATTTTTTTGCGTATTCAAATTGCCATTGTGAGAGTGTATTTATGGTGTTGTAAAAGGGATTTTTTAATATATTTTTTAAATATTATCATAATTTTTAAATTTTACATATGAAATTTGGATTAATTTAAAAATTATTTTCAATTACTTTTTTAATTTCCTCAGCTTCTCCACTGTTATTTAATACGCCACAATTAAAAAATGTATATTTCCCAATTGAAGTGATAGAATTTGGAACATCAATTTTAGACAATTTTGCACACCCCAAAAAAAGTCCTTCACTTAAATAATCAAGACTGTTAGGTATATCAATTTCTACTAGTTCCTCACAGTTATCAAATGCTAAAGTTCCCAAGTATTTGAGATTTAGTGACAATTTAACCCACGACAAATTAAAACAATTTTGAAACGCCAACGTACCAATTTCAGTCACCTTATTTGGAATTTCAATTTCATTTAACATAAAGCAATTTGCGAATGCTTCAGCGCCGATAAACTCGATGTTAGATGACAACTTTATTTCAGAGAGATTTGTGAAATTTTTGAATGCCTTTTTGTTGATCAAAAACACGTTTTCTGGGATGTCCACTAACGTCATTTGCACTGTTTTTTCCTCACATGTTTTCTTTGTTTTTATCACTTCAAGTGAGTCTGTTTTATTAATTTCTTTACAAAGATTGTCAATTGCACAGACATTGTTTGGAACTTCAAATCCACATTCTGCAAAATCATTAAAGTCGAAGTGGACGTTTGTAAAGTAAATATTATTGTTACACTCTTTTTGAGTAGTTTTATAGTTAACTGAATCTTCGATTATATAGTTTACAAATTGTTGTGAATAACAGTCTTCCTTCGCTTCATTTTTAACATCAATTTGAGAATTAACTTCTTCAAATCCAGATAACCAATTTTGAGTATCACTGGTGATTATAGTTAATGTCAAATAATCTTCGATGCTTTTTAAAAAGTCTGGAATAATAAACTGATTTGTACTGTCCACTTCATTAAAAAAATAATTTGGATTGTACAAAAAATTGTGTGTACTCCCATCGTTCACTTCAATATGTGAAAATTTCTCAATAAAAATGACTGCACTGAATATTTCAAAGTCGACTAAACTATACTCATAGAGTCTCCCATTAACAGTAAAAAAGACAATTGGTTTCATTCCTTCTGTTTTTATTACACCTACGCCAATTACATTTTTGGAGTGTTTTTCTTTATTATAAGTGACATTTTTATTATAATGAAAATTCTGATTTTGCTCGACTAAATACCTTGAAGTAATTTGGCAGGTGCGTGACGAGAAGCCTATTGAATATTTTGTGACACCGACCGGAAAATTATCAAACTCGTCGAATCTTTGTTGATCAACAACACCGACAGAAAAGACGTCATCACACGCGTTTAACTCAAAATAGCGAATATTATGAACAAAGTACTTTTCGTTTCTGAAATGGTATATGAGGGGGAGGTCACATTTATTATCAACAAAATAACGCGAAATGGCAAGTGTAAAACATTCTGCGTTATTTGCAAAAAAATTGTTATTTTGTATCAAAAGGTCTGGTGATAAAGATACAAAATTTCCGAGTTTAAAATAACTTGATTGTTCATTAGAAGAGAAGTAACGATTGTATTCACTTGGATCTACACATAAAGCAGTGTAAAAAGAGTCAGAAACCATCACAGTGAAGTTTCTGATTGCAGTACAGTCTTCCATGAAGTAATCCACGTCATTTTTTGTAACATTTTGTAACTCAATATTTTCACTGCAGTACAAAATCAATTTGAACCGGCGATTTGAAATTGGTGTAGATGTAATTTTATTAGAAAATAGAATATTCACAAGTTCGATATTATTACAGGAAAATGTACTGTAAAAGTTGATTGTGTTAGAACACTTAATAAAGAGGTGTTTAAGATCTCTGAAATGCGACTTTTTTGTGAAATCAATTTTTGTTGAATTTTCTATTTCAATCAATTCGAGTCGATTGAAGTCGTTTGAAAACTTGAGAGATCTTGTCGACGCAATTTTCATTTTAATTAAAAATTGCGTGTCAACATTAAATGCAAATTTGTCGACTTTTGGACTGATGTTGTCTTCCAATATATATTCAGTAACATAATCCGGCAATTTCAAAGTGCTTTCGAACTGACTTGAGTTTGTTTGATAAATACAATTTGGGTGTATTTTGTTGATAACGTCATTTATAATATTTAATTTTAATAATCCTTTCATATTAATAATTCCTTTAGATAAAAATAGGTTTTCATTATTATACAAATCAGTCACACAGTTGACATAAAAGTCGAATTCTTTGAAAAGTTTTATTTGATCTTTAAGACTCTCTGTGATCCCACCATTCTCAATTATAACACACACTTTTGTTTTTAATACATTGATACAATTTTTGATGCTCGAAAGATTTGTAAAAATACATTGTACGTCATTTCCAATGTTTGAAAGATCGATGTAAATAGCAACTTTACGAATATGAAAGTAAGTACTGAATTTCCCATTTTCAGTGTATTTTTCAAGAAAACGTGTGACGGACTCTATATGTCCTTCAAGTACTTTTAAATTTAGAAAGTAAGCCGCGTTGTTTATTATAATATCATATGATTCAGGCACGTCATTAATAGAAACATTTCCATTGGGAATACCAATATATAAAGATGTTACTTTTGGGAGGTATTTTGAAGCATTTTGACATTGAAATTTTGTTTAAGAACTTCACCATTGAAATTTGGAAAAGAGAAATTTGAGACTTCGGTGGCGATACTTAGTATGATGAATGGATAATTATTGAAACGGAAAGTATCGGGACGAAAATGTGAAACAAACCATTGAGCACTTTCGTTGTCGTCGAAAAACGGAGAAGTTTTGAGGCGTTTCACAGCGTCTTTACAGTTTTTGCAAATACATAAGAATGTAAAAATATCATCTTTTGTTGTCAAAACAAGGGCAACGTTCATTAAATATATTGGCTCAAGCTTTAACATGCTTTTAATGTTTCAAGTTCTGTTCTTATTAAGTTAATTCGATATATTTTGATTTGGTTACTGTAAATTTGAATTTCAAATTAAACTTGAAATTAAAATAAATTTCAAATATGTTTATTCCATGGAACTTTATATTATTAAAGTTATGAATAAAATTCAATTGTTTAACACTTTAAATAACATTGAACAAAATTCAAGTGGTCTAAAAATCGGGAAATCTCGAGTTTATTAAATAAATTTCCATTTTTTTAGAGTTTATATTATATGCATAAACTATACACAAGCCAAAAAAGGAAAACCATCAAAAATTTGATTAATATCCCTGTAATAACAGGCCAAAACAAAAATAAGGGCGTTATTTTAAGTGTTAATATACAGATGTGGAATGATAGATTCAACAAAGACTATGGTTTTGACTTATAATTAATATTTTTCATATTATTCTAAAAACTAAATATGAAACATTACATTTTAGTTCATATTTTATAATATTTAAAAACTTCTTTATTATATATCAAATAGTTTCAAATAATTTATTTAAACCTTATTACATTTAAATTATTAAATTATTATTAACTATTTTTCAATCATAATAATATTTATAAATAACATTTTATTGTTATAATATTATTTGTTATTAGATGTACAAAAACATCCAACTTATGACTCAATAACTATTTATATCAATAACATGATATTAAATAAATTGATTATTTACCATTATTATATAATAAGACTTTCGCTACTTCTAGTTAGTGTGTAAACTAAAAAATAAACAAAAAAATGTCGCATAAAAGAATAGACTTATTTCATATGATGATAGTCGCAAAGTACTTTTCTTCAATCAACGACTTTCTTTATCTTCAACTAGTCACGAAAAAATACGAAAATATTCTTTCATGTTTTCATTATAACCCAATTTCACTCACATTAAAAACTCGTCGCCTTTTTCCAAATTTAGAAACTCTGCATCTATCTTCAAGTAGTGACGAGACATTTGAAAATAAGATTTTTTATCAAAGAATTGTTTGGTTTCAAGTCTCCAAAAGCAAAACATGTTCATCTCAAAATGTTTTGTTTAAAAACGTCTCATATAATGAAAAAGAAATATTCCGATATAACACATCCCACGATTTAAACTCTGTTGTTATATCGGACATTCATGCACGGGATATAACTTTGAATATGAAAGGAATGGTAGATCACTATGACGCACGTATACCATTTCAGAGTTTAACTTCTATAGTACTTCCGCCATATTTGACATCTCTTGGTGATGTTTACTATTACCGCAGTTGTTATAAATTATCTTCAATTACACTTCCATTGAGTCTTCAAAAAATTGGTCAATATTTCTTTTATGAATTTACATCATTAACATCCATTGACATTCCTTCAAATGTCACTCATATTGGCAGAAATGCGTTTCAAAAATGTTACTCTCTTAAGTCGGTTACTATTGGAGCAAATCATATAAATATTGAGATGTTTGCATTTGATAATTGCAGTAAATTGTCTGTCGTGAATTTTACTTCGAATTATAGTAATTTAAATTATATTAATAATAATGGTTGTGTTTTTGAGAAAGAGAGTCTATTTGGTTATGAAGCATTTACATATTGTTCATCATTACAAACAATTTATATACCATTGTTTGTATTAAAACTCAATTCTACCTTTTGCAATTGTAGTGCACTGCGCCAAGTCATTATCCCAAAAAGTTTGGAAATAATTGGTGACTATGAATTTTATGAATGCAAACATTTGAAATATCTTTTCACATTTGAAGAATACAAAAATTGTGGATTTAAAGATTTTATTCAACAACCTCATTTTGTGAGTGATACTAATACTAAAGTTATTTATGATAAAAATAGAAATAACAATGTCAAAAACATTAAAGAAATAGAAAGTTTTGATATTATTTTAAACTATAATATAAACACAATTAAAACCTATGCTTTTTATGATTGTTTAGCAATTGAAAGTGTATTTTTAGGAGAAAAAATTTCAAATGTTGGATACCACACATTTGAGAATTGTTCTAATCTACAAAAAGTTAAATTTACTAATTCTATAATTAAGGAACTAAACGACTTTGTATTTTTAAATTGCATTTCTCTTCGAGAAATAGTGCTATCAATTAACTTAGAGAATTTAAAGGATGGATGTTTTAAAGGGTGTTCACAACTTTCTAAAATTGTGAATACCAGCACAGTTAAATGTTTTGGCAATTCATGTTTTTACAGTTGCAACAATTTGGATAATTTCGATTTTTCAAAGAGTGTCTCCAACATTGGGGAATATTGTTTTTTTAATTGCTCAAAAATGTGTTTTCCAGTCGAATTTACTCATACCACTTATATTGGGAAATTCGCGTTTTGTATGTGTTCTAATTTAACTTCAGTTGTCATTCAAGGAACTTTGGAATGTTTATACGACAACACGTTCGATGGTTGTTCTTCACTTGTTACAGTAATATTGCCAAGATGCATAAAAATCATCAGACCAGACTGCTTTAAAAATTGTCGAAAACTCGAAAATTTTATACTTCCAGAAAACGTCCGTTATATTGGGTTTCACGCTTTTTTGAATTGTGTTTTGCTTAGTAATATTGTTATAAATAAAGACGCGTTTTTTATTAGTATGGGTGCTTTTAGTGGGTGCTCACGACTTAAAGAAGAAGGAAAAATACCTCAACATTGTTTTGAGTAATTGCCATGTTTAATAATAAGGTAAAACGATGTTATAAATACAATTTAATCGTTGTTGAATTCTGTTAAATGGTTGTTATATTGATTTACATTGTTATAGTTAATTATAAGTATGAAAACTAAACACCCACACAATTATATGTGTTATTATAACTAATTTTCTTAAATTTTTTTATTAGACTCATATTAACTTTATTCTATAATTCCAATTCATAATAATATTAACATTTCAAAATCAAAATATTATATAGTTAGTACATTTTGAACAATAAATTATAATCACTGTTTTATTATTTAAAGAAATAATTAAATAAATGTCTATTTATAGTGGACATTATCATAAACATGATAAAACAAACGATTGTGGTAGAACGAAACAAAAAATGAAATTCAAACATTGAAATCATCACTTTTGTAAAATAAGTTTTAAGTGATTGTTTTTTATTTTCATTTCGAACAAATAGTGAAAGAAATTTAATATTATATAAAAGGTTATTGAATTCAAAAAACAGTAAATGTGTATCATATTTCTACATGTCTTGTTTGGCTTTTCATTTGCTACTTCTGATTTAAACGACTCTCCTTTTTCATCCGAAAGACGAAGAGAAGCTCGATTAAATCGAGAGCACTCAACTATATTAAACACACTGAAAATCCATCTGGACTCTTTTGAGCAGTATATTGTCGAATACCAAACATTATTGGTAACAATGAACAATGATGAATACCAAGAAATTAGACAGAAAATAACAAAAGAAGAATCTGATTGGATACACAAATTTGGACGAAAATTTGACAAACTTTTGAGTGTTCTTTCAAAAGCAAAACAAACTCCAAGTTATTACAATTGTAAAGAAGTTGTAAAAACAATTGAAATGATATATTTTAACGATGGGGCGGATTTGTTTAAACATTTGTTGCAAAATGTTTATGGAGTTGTAATACATTTCAATAAAATTATATCAACTATGATGACTTCAGACCGTTATAAAATACCGTCGTTCAATAACCAAATGGATGTGTTTAGATCCCCATTGAAAAATATTGACAAAATCATGGAATTTCTAGGAACATTTTCTGATAATTATTTAATGAAAAAAAGCAAAAATTTAAAGAAACTTGTGATTAAATTTAACAAACTAAAAAGAGAACTTAATGAAGTGATTGTGCCCATGCAAATTAATAATTAATATGATTTTTATTGTTGACATCGTTAAATAAAATAATAATCAATGTGGACTTTTTGATTATTATTTTAATAATTTATCAAACATCCTTTTTTTAAAATTTAATTAATATTAACACTTAAATATCAATGATTTTTATATGTATTTAAGTCAATATTAAAATGTTATTTGATTCAAACATGATAAAAAGTAAAATAATTGAAAACCCATTTGAAAAACACATTACACTTTTTGTATTTTCAATGTAATGTACCATTTTATAAACAAATATAAAATGTTTGATGCTTATTTGTTAACTTAAAAAACAAACAATTTTTACTTTGTATTCAATTGTAAGTATTATTATTAATTATTTGAAATAATTATTTTGTTGCTAAGTATTTTATCCAGAGAAATTTAACTTGATTATATTATCACGCAATCTACAAAATATGCACTAAACTCAGTGCATTAATTAATATCACATTGGTAGCACTCTCCATAGTACTAACACATATTACACTATCTATCTTTGAAAAAAAAACATTTTCTTTATATTGATTTATTTACCGTTGTTGAATATGTTTAATAATATTCAATCATTTGTTGAATGTCTAACATTTTAATAATTTATTTATTTCTTTTTACTAAAGATAGTAGCTTACATTAATTTTTATCTCCATGATAAGTTTTTATCGTTTTTAATTTTGGGTTTTCGTTTGATACTTGAACAAATGAACATTTTTTAAAAAATAAAATCAGACACCCAATATTTATCCAAACCCCAATAATTACGCTATCTGTTATATTTATAAACAAAGCCCGATTACACAGAATAATTATCTGTGTAAGTGTGTATGTTTCAACTCTAATAGTATTTTTAAAAATTTAAAAATCATATGAATGAACACAAAGAAATTTACTACTGTTAAAAAAACCCAAATTTAGATTGTTGATTTTTCCATTCATTTTTTTTCAATAATTTAAAAAATTGTGGGTTTGTCTGGTAATTTGAACTGTATATTCTCTATAATTATTAAATTAATCTATTTATACTAAACTATTATTTAATAGTTGATATATCTATTTTTGTTGATTTTTATTTTTATTTTTCTGGTTAACTAAAAATAAAAAAAAGATTTTTTAAAAATCGAAAAAAATTGTATTTCTATTTATATTATAAAACATTTAAAAATTGATATATAAAAAGGAAAAAACGACAAATTATTTATCAAAATGGGATTATTGTATCCGTGGTTACTTATTATTACTGCTCTTTCATGTTATACAAACGATGCTGATGACTGTGTTAAGTATGACGGAAAAGCATGTGAAACAGAAATTACTATATCTGACGCAACTTGCGTGGCAGAAAGCGGATTTTCTAACGCCGAAAGCACTGGTACTGAGTTGAATATACACTTCACTGGTTCAAACAAAGTGGCAATTAAAAAGGGCGCTTTTAATAACACTTTATTTATTTCATTTGTGTCAGAAGCGGGTATTGCAAGTCTTGGTGAATCTTCTTTTGAAGGAAGTAGCATAAGTTCAATCGACTTGAAAGGAGTAACAATTGTGCCAGCAAAATGTTTTTCATTCTGCACTGGTTTGGGAACAGTTTCAAATACAAAAGACATCGTTGAAATTGGCGATGAGGCTTTTAATGGTGTTGCAATCACAGCATTTGAATTTGCTGAATCGATGACGAAAATTGGAGCTAAAGCTTTTTTCAGTAACATGATGCTTACAGAAATTAAATTGCCAAAAATAATAACCACGATCGGTTCAGAGGCGTTTTCGTATATCCCAGAACTTGCAACTGTTGATGTCAATAACAACGAAAACATTGGAGAGAAAATGTTTGCGGGATGCTCAGCAGACCCAATGACTTTTCTTAATACCGAGAGTATCAAAACTATTGGAACTGATGCTTTTGCAGATACAGTTGCAATTACCAAATTGCATTTAAAAAATGTAACTTCGATTGGTGACACTCTGGCTTCTGTAACTACAGTCTTTTTCCATGGCGCAATTGCACCAACGTTTACTAAAGATCTGGATGTCAGTGTGGCTGTTTACGTGAGTGATCAATACGCTGCAACCACATTTGGCACTGTAACTGTAAAGAAAGCTCAATGCGACAAACTTCACAAAATTAATTTGTCTGGTTCTGTCGATGGAGAAGTCAATGGTGATGACTGCACGGCTTGTGAAAGTCAAATGTCTAGTGTTGATGGTGTTTCTGATGAGTGTTCTTTAGATATGACTGCTTGTATTAATGAACATGCAAACTGTGAAATATGCATTGATTCTGTTTGTGAATCGTGTGTCACTGGAAACAAAATGACTGAAGACACCAAAAAGTGTGTTGCCACATGTCCAGCGACATACTACACTTCAACATCTGATAACATGTGTAAGAAGTGTACCACTGCAAATTGTGCAACTTGTGATGGTGATGGTAAACCAGATGTTTGTATCACATGTACTGATGGTACAAATGCCGATCCAACAACTCATTTGTGTGCAACTACAACTTGTGGTACTGGTAAATATGGAACGCCACCAGACTGTAAAGATTGTGTTGCTTTGTGTGATGTATGTTCCGATGGTACTTCATGCACAACGTGTACGGCTACAAACAAGAAGACTGAAGACACGCATTTATGTTATGCGACATGTCCAGCGACTTATTACACTTCTACAGCCGATAACATGTGTAAAAAATGCACTGCTACAAATTGCGACACTTGTGAGAATAACTCAAAGTGCCAAAAATGCTCCAAAAACTATTTACTCCACGAGACAACTCAATTGTGCGTTAAATCTTGCACTGACAACTTTTATGAAGTTGGCCAAGAGTGCAAGAAATGCCTTGACCATTGCTCCAAATGTACGGATGCCACTTCATGCACCACTCCAGAAGATAATTACTATTATAATGCACAAACAAAGAAGATGGAGTTGTGCACAAGTGATTGTGCAAAGTGTAATGGTAAAGACCAGTGCTCTGTTTGTAAAACTGGATATTTACTCGAACAAGTTACATTGAAATGTGTAAATGAGTGTAAGACTCTTGGATATTACAAGAAAGATGATAGCAATTGTTATACATGCAAGACTAACTGTAATCAATGTGAAGACGGAGAGACGTGTACAGTGTGCAATTCAAAGTACGAAATTTACTTCGAAAACAACTGCATCGAAAAATGCCCAGTACAATACTTTAAACCAACTGACAAGAAAACATGTGAAAAGTGCAAAGAAACATATAAAGACCCATGTGATGACACAGATGAAGAGTGCAAACAATGTATGGTGAAGAACCCTGATGAAGGAACATTTGGAGTTGCTGTAGCAATGATTTTGGTCATCGTGTTATGTTTCTTCTAAATCACTTTTATCATTTATTTGGGTTTTAATTAAATGATAACTAATCTTTTAATTGTTTGAGGGAATAGCATATAATATAACAATTCAATTTGAGCTTTAAATTGTAATTTGTATTACAAAATTATAAAAAAATATATAAAATAACAAAACTATGAATTGATTAAACTTATAAAGTTCACACAATGAAAACTTGTCAAATATTTAATTGCTTCATTGGTATAAATTTATGATGAAGATGTGTCTTTGTTCTGTTTACTTTTTAGCACACGCCAGTTATCAAAAGATTAATGTCTGCACACTTAACACACTTTCCAATAACATAATATGAACATGTTGTTTTTTTGTTCTTGTTGAAATAACACGTTCATGTGTGTACACTTTAAATATATTACGACATAATCAGCACATAAACAAACTTGTTTCTTGATAACTTTTTGTGTTTTTTGTGAGAGAACTCGATGTGATTTGTTGTGAAAATACACAATGCAACAACGTAATAATAAATTGTGATATTATATCTTGAGTTTATTCAATGCTTAATGTCTAAACATCTTTTTCTATTACCCGTTTTATTGATTAAAAAATAGTTAATCAGCCATTAATGATTTTTATTTATATTCGATTTATATATAAACAAAACGATATGCTACTAAAAATATTTTGTTTACATTTTAAAGATTTCAATAATTCAACCATACATGTATTTGAAACAATTCATGTTTTTATTCAAATGGAAGTAAAAACAACTCATTTGAGTGTTTGTTTTTAACAGTAATGAAAAAATATAACATAAACAAACATTTTTATCAATAAAAATAAAAATATTTTTTTTGAAGAAAATTACTACCATTTTTAATATATAAAAAGAAATTTGTAAAAAATATCATAAAAATGAAATTATTATTCTTTTTGTTGGGTGTGTGTTGTGTGTCTCAAGCTTCTCCAACTCCCTAACTTAATGAAATGGTTTCAGAAAACTCTCTTGGTCTTCTCAAAAAATTTTATGAAGACCTCAAATTGTTTTTAAAAGATCTTTCTCAATTTATATCAACTTACCATAATCATAGATCTCTCGAAAGATTGATTTCTCATTTACAAGACATTTCAACTCATGAAAGGTCTGCAAAGGTGTTTCTTGAAAGTTGTATACAAGGCCGATGTACCATTTCCAATTTAAACAGTTGGTTTAACTTTTTCAAGAAATATGAAGAGCCCAATATTGAAAATGGGTATTACGAAGTTTGTGCAAATGTAAACCTACATTCTAAAAATTTCAAAAAACTTAGACGAGTTAATCCCGAAGAAAAAACAAAAGGTGTTAGAATCATTTTTTCTCTTCTTAGTTTGTTGAATAAAGAAAAAATTCTCTTCACTTTATTGTCTCGAGACCCTTCACTATCTCTCAATGAAAATTTTATTTTAGCAAGAGGCAATGTAGAAAAGTTGATCACAAAAATAGCAAGAGGGGCGGTTTTACCCAAAGATTGGAACTTTAAAAGAACTGAACCAAGAAACGAAGTTCATACTTCATCAATTCAAACTCAAGGTCAACAACAACAGAGACGAAGAGGATTATTCTCAAGATTCAACGTTTTCAGAAGACGAACATAATTAATTATTTGACAACTTGTTTTTTTATTCATATAAAAGATTAAACATTGATAATATGTAATTGTTAATTGAAAAATTAAATACTTTATTTTATAATTTATTGACTTAAAAAATTTAAAAATAATAACATTCGAATAAAAAAATAAAATTTACATATTATTTACAATTAAAATGTGTGATGTACAGTGAAAATACGTTTCAAAATGATGGGAAAATAGTTTAAAAATGACAGATTTTATTTTAAAAGGACAAGATTTTTAATAAAAAGGATGAAAATCATAAAAAGTGATGGAGATTTGTTTTAAAAAGGACAGGTATTTTTATTGAAAAGGACAGGATTTTTGATAAAAAGGACGAATTTCGAAAGAAATGATGATTTTCATGAAAAAGGATAGGAATTTATTATAAAAAGGATGGGATTTTTGTTAAAAGGATGGATTTCAAGAAAATGTGACAGCCATTTTTTTGAAAAAGGATAACATTTTTAACAAAAAGGATCGATTTTTTTAATAAAATATAATTTATTTCCGACATTTTCCCGATTTTACACATAAAACACAAACAATTTAGAATTACAAGTCTTTTCTTTCATATGCTTTTGCCCAAATTTCATTGCGACATCTCTCCTTAGACGCTATTACTTCAGCCGGTTGAATTGAAATAAATCCATCTTTGATTTTTTCAAGAAGATCGCCAAGGCCAGTCCAAATACGTATGTCATTTTCTACACGCCTTTTCCAAAACCCAAATACAGTTTCGATTGGGTTGAGTTCAGGACTATAAGCTGCATTATAAACAATTGAATGATGAGTGTTAGTAACAAGTTCCCTCAAATGGTTGTGTATAGTACAATTGTCACACCAAAACACTGCTGAAATGTTGTTGTCGTCATAGTGTTTCATCAATTCCATAAAATATCTATTGAAGACCTCTTCATCACTTTTTCCTGCAACCAAAAAAGTTGTTCCCATTCCTGTGTAGTCTATTGAACACAAAGCAGATAGTCTTTGTCCGTTTTTTGCCTTTGTCACGAAGAGTTTTTCACCGATTGGACTCCATCCGTAAACCGCAGTGCAAGCAATACGCCAAGAGGATTCATCAATGCAAACCCAGGTTTTTCCCGAGTGCATCTGACCAACCAATTCTTCGATCGCGACGATTCTTTTCTCTTTGTTTTCGTTAGTGTTTGCAACTGCGCCTCGTGGAGTTTCCCTTTTGAAACTTAAAACGGGCAGAGTTCTGCCCTCATCTATACCAGTTTTCCTTTCATGAAGTTTCTAATCGCGCTTATTGAAGGAATCATTTTGTCGATTGTATCCAATGCTTCTTGTGATATTTGAGTTGGAGAATTGTTGTTATACCCCAATTCAAATTGTTCTTGTGTAATTTCTGTGACTTCTTCGACTGTTGTTACATTGGCATTTACCAACACTTTTTGGATGTTTGATCAGATACATTTGAGTGAAGATGTTGAGTCTTTTTCAATTAATTTCTTTACCAAATGCTGAAAAGGAATTACTCTGCTTTTTTTCTTGTAGTGGTCTTTTGGTAAAATTGAATTACCATTTCTTAATTTGACTAACATATTTTTGACGGCCTTGATTTTAATACCAAGTTCTCCACTATAAAACACATCGTCTTTAGTGTCCCCATAAACTCTAAAAAGTTTAATCATATCAAACTTGTTTTGTATTGTTACTTTGTGATAAGGTCTTTTGGTTTGGTTTATTGATTCTGACCGAGTTTTGGGTCTTCCCCTTTTTCTTTTAGTAGCTTGGGGAAGAATGAAAGGTGTTTTAGATTCAACCTGGCGCTGTTGTTCATTCCATTGGATAAGTGGTGGATTATCTATAAAATCGTTCTTTGCTATTGGGTCTCTAGCGTCGATGAATGTTAAAAACTGAGACATTTAAATCAATTATTAAGATTGAGATCAAAATAATGTAAATCCTTTTTTATTTTAATTTGATTATTGATTTATACACCTATTTTTGAAACAAGTTTATGATATTCTAAATTGTTTGTGTTTTTATGTGTAAAATCGGGAAAATGTCGGAAATAAATTATATTTTATTAAAAAATCGATCCTTTTTGTTAAAAATGTTATCCTTTTTCAAAAAAATGGCTGTCACATTTTCTTGAAATCCATCCTTTTAACAAAAATCCCATCCTTTTTATAATAAATTCCTATCCTTTTTCATGAAAATCATCATTTCTTTCGAAATTCGTCCTTTTTATCAAAAATCCTGTCCTTTTCAATAAAAATACCTGTCCTTTTTAAAACAAATCTCCATCACTTTTTATGATTTTCATCCTTTTTATTAAAAATCTTGTCCTTTTAAAATAAAATCTGTCATTTTTAAACTATTTTCCCATCATTTTGAAACGTATTTTCACTGTAATTGATAAGATATTTCCATAGTTATTTGACGTGTTGGTAATATGTTTTTGAGTTATATGTTATTATTAATATAAAATGCTAATTAATAAAAAAAACACCATTAGATGTAGGGATGTCGAAACAGTTTTCAAAACTGAGAAATTTTCAAATGTTTGTGAAATATTTCTTGTTTTCAAAATTGTGTTTTAACTTAGTTTATTTCTGAAACAAACAATTTTAGTATGTTTTAAAACACGAATAAAAAAGTTTGTGAAACAATTTCAGTTTTTGAAATTGTTATAAAATAAATAATACCTGTTTCGTTTTCAAACACCGTGTTTTGAAACTACTTGTTTTTAAAACAACGGTTTCTCAAACATTATTATTTAATTGTGTTGTAAAATGACATTTTCAAACAATGATAAAAACTAATGTTAATAATTTATTTATTTATTTTTATTATTGTTATATATATATTGAAATCAAAATCTTAACAAATCAATTTTAAAGTATTTATTTGTTTTCGAAAACAATTTCAACATACAAAATATTCGAAATGTAAATATATATAAACTCGATAATTAAACAATATTAATCATGGAAGAAATAATAGATGATAAAGCTCAAGCTATTGGACCATTTTGGTCAAACTGTTCATTGGTTGAAGTTGAAATACAAATGGTTGACAATAAACCAGTTGAAAATATCATCAAAAGATACAAATACGATGAAATATTTCAAAAATGCAACACAAAAAATAAAAATAAACACGTAAAAAGAAAGAAAAACAAGAACTTTTTGAGGGCCCATGGTATTCTTAAATATCAATGTCAAGTTGGTGATTGTCGCTGTTCTTTTGCTTGTACTAACAAACTAGTAACTACAAATATGCGAAATCATTTAATTCACAATCATCATATTAATATGGACACACAGACATCCGAAAGAAGTTTATATAATAGAGGATATCGTGATTGGAATATTACACATAAAAATTTGGACTCACTTT